AGTCTCGTGTTTCATTGAAAGTCTTGCCAACGTTACAACATCTCGTTGTTTCTTACGTCCTAACACGAAAACGCCGTGGTACGGGCGCACGCGGGTAATCGAAAAACGACGACAATCTTGATGATCGTTGCGGAATATCTATTTCGTTCGTCCGTTCCGTTTCGAAAACCCTCGATCTCGGGCACGTAAGAGTACGATGCAATAACACAGTGCGGTCGATAACGCGTTGTGTAGTGATACAATGCGCGCGCGTGGTGAACGCGCGAAAAATCGATTTCAATGCAAACCGATACATATTAAACGGTAGGATGTATTTACATCGTTTGTACCGAAACGGTCTGAGCCGTCGCGACGACGGATCGTCGTCTAAAACTAAAATAGAAAACAAGAATAGGACGCACAAGTGTCTGCGACGCGCGTACACATGTATCGCCGTGGATTATTACGTGTCTCACGTGTTTTGGTCGTACGGGCCGCGGTCGGGTACCGTGACCGCCGCACGGTCGGCAAACGGAAACGAACGCGTACCAAAACGTGCGCCGACGGTTCGCGATCGTACATACACCGTGAACGCCCGTTTCGGGAAATACAATAATTGTTTCACGCGTTGCACACATAATGTATGTGTGTGCGTCATCAGTAGTAAACGATATTATGGTTTATCGTAAAAATTTTACTTGCCCAATACATCGTCTCTGTATATGAGTTTTATTTTCAAAAAAAAAAAAAAAAAAATTAAACTACTAATTTAAAATAAAATGTTTTTTTTTTTTTTTTTTTTTCATTATTATCGGCACAAACCACCACTTGGGAACACTGCGCCATTTCAAAAACCAAATACATTGTACTCTTGATTGTCCGCGGTCTTATGCGGAACGAACCGCGTACACGTGAAAAAAAATAAAAAATAAAAGTGTTTCTTTACATAATACGTGTATACGTCATTACGGTTTTTGTTGATTGTTGGGAACATTTCAATTTCAAGTCAAAAAGGAGTGTTTTAAAGAAAAAGAAAAAAAAACATTAACTTGTAAAATGTTGTCAATAAAATGAACAGCATAAATATTATTCGTCATACTATATGTATTTTTAAATAAAAATAAAATGTGTTTTTATTTAATTTTCCTTAAATCGTACTTGTATAAAAACGGTGTAAATATGTATGAGAATCCATCAATCGAGAACAATTTTTTTTTTCAGTTGTTCATAATTGACAGGAGAAGGTTTTCGCGAATGAAAACTTTGGAAAACAACACATTCTTTTCTTTTCTTTTTTGAAATTACCCGATACGTGTAAACTGTATGGCTACAGTATATGCGGAGTCATTGGGCCTAATATCATGCCAATTGCAAATTTTAAATATCTCACATTCTAATTGTGCATATAAATATAATAATATTGTTTGCGTATTAATAAAATTAAAAAAAAAACGGTTCTATTTGTTCTATTCATTGCAAATAATTCATTACGTTAGTTGTTTTTTTTTTTTTTTAATAGCATTTTATTTTGAATAGGATTAATAGGATTAATCATAGTTGTCGGGAAATCTGTTTGCTTGAATAATGCCTTCTATTAGACGATCAAACCTAGGACTACGTACACGTCGTGCAATAGTCAGAATATCCGTGATAATCAAACGCAAGAGGAACGTGCAGAAGCAAATTAATGGAGACGTGTCCATGTTGCACAGATTCGCTCTGCACAACCACCTCAAATTCGGCAAAATATTATTTGAAGACCAGTCGTAAATGTAGCCTTGAATAGCGCTGCAAGCTAACGTGTACAATCACCAAGAATTCAACAGCGAAGTTGATACGAGAATGCAAAATCAAAATTTGGAAATGATCTACGATCGCGCATAAACGAGCTTTGTTGACTGAACGATAAAGGATTTACGATGTAATTCGAGACGATTTGGTGGGATAATGATATTGTTCTCAGGAGATTTTCGTTAAACGCTTCCCGTCATCCTGAAATCTACTACTGCCGAGGAAATTAATACAGTTCTGAAATCGTCGTCTTTGCGGTAGCTTGTCAAAAAGTTGAAACTAACCAAGAACACGAGATTTGCGTTGCACAATGACCTATGAATTCTCGAAGCAACCACTGGCGCTTAGAAATGGCTAAATTCCTATTAATGTTTTAATTGGATTGATAACGTTCCCGGTAAATTCTTACGACTTCTCATCGTCGAAGGAGGAACTCATCACCAAAGTGTTTCCCAGCATTGCAGAAAATTATATAAATCTCGATTTGATTAGTGAACGGGCGATACTAGCAGCAAAGAATAAGGATGTCGATAGTTTGAATTTAATTATTCAAAGTTAAATCGCTGGAGAACTGCATTCGTACAAATCCGTTGACTGCGTGATTGATCAACGGCGATGAAATGATCAACTAACCGACGAATTTTTTTAACTAGCTTGATGTGCTAGACACTCCGTCACATAATTTAGAGCTGAATGTGAAATCGTGTTCACATTCATGTTAACATCTGAATCTTCTGAAATTATGCAACGGTACGCAATTGTCCGTCAAGAAACTGATGAACAATGTGATTCATAGACAATGTTCTAAATTTTATCTGTTGTTAAAATATACTTTATCAACAATTAAATTAAAGGCTGATTTATCGCCGTGTAAAATGTTATGTATAGTTAAATTTTATTATTAATGTTTTTGGCCATTATCTAATGTTGATAAATATATTACAAGGTGAATAAATATATACATCCACCTTGATATTTTTTTATATAGCTTGTACCTGCATACCTTTTATTTGATAACCAGTTTATTGGTAATAGACTGAATATAAAACAATTATGGGGCAACACTCTTAAATTTAATACATATTAATTTAACAAACGTTAGTTTATCGTTAAATAAAAAATTAACAGTGGATAAAATAATTACCGATAGATAACGACGAGTTAGGTGCAACCGGGCAATGAATCGTAAAAAGTCACTTTTTTAAGGTCATGCACGTTGAAACAGAAAACTTGTAGTTTTTTTTTTTAATCTTTGGTTAAAATTCTATATGTTCTAATGAATTTATTGAAATTATTAGAGACAAGAACAGTGTTGGCTTGAAGATTATGACTAATTAATAATTATGCTTTTTATTTTAAAATGTCCAAGAACTTATTTCTATCATTATTTTATAGAAATGTAATTAAAATTAAATTGCTACAAACCCAAGTAGAGCAGATCATAATTATCAGTAATTAATATTATGTGTTTGTTTTATAATAAACAATAATATTTATTATAAAACCAAACATATTAATTATTTACGATTGCTTGAGATTCCGCAGCAAATTCATTTTAATTTCATGTCTTCTACAATAGTTTGTCAAATGAATTAGACATTCAAAATGTAATTATTTTTTTTAACTCTATTCACATTCACTTTTTAAAATGTTTATTGTATGTTTAAATTAATAATTACATTATGGCTAATAATATCATCAATTATAAGCTTATCGTTTTTTATTATGTGTTGCAATGTTTATTTGATCAAAAAAAAAAAGATTACTTTCCCAAATGACGTTGGAATTTTATATACTCGTAGTATTGTATGCTCGACGAGTGCCGTGAGAATTTTTAAGATTAGATGAAATCTAAATGTTATTGTGTGGGGATAATACTGTTTTTTTTTATATAAAGGAATATTTTTATACCGAATACAACAGGTACCGCGGCACTTTTATCTGCGATTGTTTAAATATTTCTCAAGATATTCATAATTCTAGTTCTGTATCTTAAATCCTAACAAATATTGTAAACCATTAACTATACTCTTTTGAGGTTCGTGGTCGTTATATTTTTACAATAATTGTAAGTTACAAGCTTACGTCATTCAAATTATTATTTTTTATTCGAAATCAGTTAATCTGAGCGACCAGGAGCAATGGAAACGATCGCCCTTCGACATCAACGGTTTAACGTACCAATGTGATATGATATAATAGTAATAACGTTTACGGATATATGTCCCGTTTAGGCAAAAACGGTTGTCAACCTAAGAGTAGGCGATGTAAAACGTAACACAACGCAAATTAATTAACCGGTACAATTAAAAACGGAGCATCCGAGTTGGATCCCGAGTACTAGGGGATAATCGCAGATAGTGTATTAGTTGGGTCCTATATTATTTAAGGTATTACACTAGTTCCTGAATATTTTTTGGTAAGTACTACATTATACTAACATTTTTCTTCCCATTTTAACAGATTTAGGATTGTCTATGATCTATTTAGAACACAGGTATGGTTAAAAATGTTTGTATAGTTTTTTTTTTTTTTTTTTAATATTAGTTTCTTTTCCATTAAAATATAAATGATTAGAATTGTGTTGGTAAAAATATTAAAAATGTTAAAATCATCATATAATATAAATAAAATTAATGGAAAAGAAACTAAAAAAATAAAAAATAAAACTATAAAAAACATTTTTAACCGTATCTGTGGTCTGAATAGATCATAGATAATCCTAAATCTGTTAAAATGGGGAGGAAAATTTTAGTATAAAATAGTACTTACCAAAAAATATTCAGGAACTAGTGTAGCAGCTATAAAAATTCGGGACCCAACTAGTGTAGTAATTTTAAATTCGGGACCCAATTCGAATGCGGCCATTCAAAAAGCCGGATATGTGTTTTTACGAGAGGAACGCGTGAACGATACGGTGTGGAATTCAGGAATAGGTCTCCGTCGCCGTTCACTGTTCGTGTGCTACAAGTGCGAGCGAGGTCGTCCTGCAAATTGTCCAGGAGGTCCTCGAACGGGTCGGTCGTAGCTCCCCGTGACCGTACCGCTACGGGATCTTCTCGGAAACGATGGAAGGTTCCGTTCGCGCGCCATACGATGCCCGCGACAAGTAACGCGTAACAGGTACGGGCGCCACCGCGTTCGATCCCAAGTGAAGCTATTATGCGCGTGATAATAATGAACATCGTGTCGAGCACGCGCGTAAACATAAAACGTATTTACAAACAGGCGAATAGAAGAAACCCGATCGAGTTTATTCGTACATCAAACAATAAATAATACAATACGTGTAATGATAATAAATTAAATAAGCGACACAACGGAAGACACGCACGCGCAATACAATGCACCGATAATATTAATACAACAACGATTACAATACGAACAATACTAATATAGTAGTACGACGTTGTTGTACGATGGCGCAGCGTTATCCCCGACGGAACGGCGCGTTAGTACATCCCGGTCGACCCTTTCACAAGGGGATCGCGTTCATGGTCGTGCTCCGGACGGGCTCCTCGTACACGGGCATGTACGAGCTGTACGCCATGTTGGACGCGGCCGCGGCGATCGGCTCGCCCGGCAGGCTCCTGCGGTAGTGGCCACTGCCGTGCGTGACGTACTCGTGGCTGCTGCCGTGGTCGTCCGTGAACAGCTTCTTCAGACCCACGATGGCCGACAGGACCAACGCGAGCTTGGCGATGATCAGGGCTTTGCCGGCCAACAGGGCGAGCACGCCGAACGCCAGCGGTATGGTCATGCCGCCCATCATGAACGGGTACATCAGCAGCGAGTTGTACTTGTTGCTCTTCTTGCGACCTAGATGGAGGGAAGAGAAAAAAAAGAACGAGATTAGAAGTTTCGATTTTCCGGTAACGGAATTGTAACGCGCGCGCTCGCAAAGTAGGAAGAGTATACGAGTCGGAATAGCAACATTCGGTCGTTTAAGAATTACGTTTTCTGTTTATTACGAAAAAGTGTGCAACGCAAAGCTTGTCGTTTCGGACGTATAGCTATGATATAACTGCGTAGATTACGGTCAGGAACCATTGTTACGTTCGGAGAAATGACACCGACCGAAATGCGAAGAAAGCGATTTACAGAAAACCATTCGACGAACCAAAAAAATAAAGTATGCTTCGTCCTTTTTACCATGGTCTGATTTTTTCTACAGTGTGTTCGAGGAAGTGTTAAGTTAATGTTGGCGAACTAAGTAGTAACACCGATTAGGGATAATGGTAGTACATCGAGAAATTTTCACGTAAGCGCACAAAGTCAAAAAACGATTTTGCTTTTCTTATGACCATCACTGCAGTGTACCTACCGGTAACCGATCGTACGTATTCCGTAACAGATTAAGTCGTACGTCGTCCAACGGCTGTACGGTTTCACGAAATATTATGTTCTAAAATTAAATGTGCCGAGAACCATAGACATTTTGAGTGAAGTCTTGTAGGACAAATTAAAATCGTACAAAAAAATAATAATTAACCTGTTTAAGTACACATTCCTGTTATTAAAAAAAAAAAAAAAAAAACAGGAAAATCGAATGCATTTAATCGTAGAAAAACGCATCACTGCTATTTAGCAAACCCTCGTAGGACACTCCGAACGTTCCGGATCCAGTGAAACCATCGGTATAAATCACGTGTAGTGCGGCGTCAACGAAAGTTTTGATGAGTGAAAAGTTTTTCGCCGACCGTGACGACCAGAACAATGCAGCGGTATTATAATATTAATAATAATAACAATAATGGGTGTATCGGAAGAGAAAGGCCGCGCGTGTGAGTCGTGTATTATACGTACTATTGAACAATCGAAGATTTTCGCGTACGCGCGTCGCCGATACCCGATAAACTGTCGACAACGCGAGACGAACAACAATCGTAATAAAAATCAAAGCCGTTTACGTTTAGGAGATGGACGAGGAGGATTTGATATCGGCTGTTGAGGACTGCAGATGACACAGAATACTGCGCGACAATGAATTCATCGCGGTGATAGGTACTAATGAATAAACATTATGTGCGTGTGATAGCGCGACGGCCGGTCATTGTAATATATTTTACGCGGTGGGTTCATAGGCGTTTTGTGCGTACGAACAATACGAGACGATCCTGGAACCGTCCGATTACAATAATATCGCGGTCTTATCAACATAATGCGATATCATTGTATCGGAGGCGGATTCGTGCAATGACATGATTTAGAAAACTTCATTAAAACTTAGAGCCCTTGTAAAACCGTTACATCCCGTTAAATCTTAAAATAAGAGCTAGAATAAATCATTCGGTTTTTTTTTATATATATATAAAACGAATGTAATATGAACAATAGTTATAGAAAAAGGTTTGGTTTTTAAATTGATGTTAATTATCTTATCCCGCGAAAAACACAGATCGCTTTCTAGTACTATTTTCTTAATTTCGAATCACTACTCTTTGAACGTATCCACACATTGTTTAGCAAACAACAATAGTTTTTTAACATTTACCCATAAGAACAGAAAATAATATTTTAAAATATTAATAATAAAAGAACTTGTTGAAAAATTCCATTATTTTATAATTATTCTTATCGGAATTATATACTTTTTTACCCAACTGACCCTATTTACAATTTACATACAATGGTTTAAGGCACGCAAAGTGAGATTGTGGGAGAATAAACATTAGGCTTTCTTCATTATAATGAACGAGGAAAATCGTGATAAACATCGTATTTACCAAATTACTGATTAATTAAAATTATATATATATGTGTAATTTTTCTTAATAACTATATTCAAATAATAAAAAAACGAAATAAAAATTAAAATCATTAAATGGTTAATACTCGTAAATTAATATATTTATATATATAAAGAAATAGTTTATTTTAAATTTATTATTTTATATTTTTCATAATTAGTCGCGATTTTATTTACTTAATACGTACCTGAAGATGAATTTTTATTTCGAAATAGGTCGTACTTCACAAATATAATAATACAGTAGACTTTCGGTAATCCGGTAGTATTTTATATTAAAATGTTGTCTTAAAAGCATTTATTATTATAAACCCGTAAAAGCATTATTTGAAACAAAAAACAAAAACAAATTTATATATATACATATATTTTACCTGTATTACCTGTCAAAAGATTAACTCAAAGTACGTACAAAATTAGTATGTAAACACGAAAGTGTTGTTTATAAGTTTTAATACAATAATTTAAGGTTGTTCAATAAGTATAGATTCGTTTTTTTACGTGAAACTCCATTAATCCGGCGTTTTCGTTAACCCGACAGTCCTCCGGTCCGATTACTGTACGCTCCGGGTTGAGCTTTCATTTTGTTTATTTACATTTTGACTAACGTTCGTCCGGTCTACGTCCAGTTGGTTTTCCGGTACGGTTTGAGAGACATGCCTAGGGCACGGGAAAACGTCGAAACCGTCACTGCGGATATAGCGCATTATTGATATCGGAAAACAACGACCCGGCGCAGGTGCGCAGATCCGCGACGTTGAACCGCCGCCGTCGTTGTTGGAATCCGAGCGGTCTGTATGTCGCTTACACGACCCAGTTTCCTAACGCGCTCCGACTCGTGGACCGGCTGCACACGTGCGTCCGAGTACAATGCAACGATAATAACGATAACAACAGATTTATCAGTCGCGTGCATTGTGCGAATCGTCGTCCGGCTGCGGAATTCGCGACCGCAATCGGTCTTTGCCGTTTAGGACCCCAGAGGCGCGCGCGCCGACCCGACGAGGAAAACGATTCGCTCGTGGCGGAGCACCGCAGCGAGACGACCAAACACCGTGGACGGCCTCGGAATCGCATTGAAAACACGCGGTTGGAAATACGTTTGACGTTTCGCCGACCGATTGAAAAGTATTCCGTGTGGTCCAGGAATGCATTACGCTTCTTGGACGTCGGTTGCATTGCGAACCAACACTTCCCCGACCGTTTTAACAAACGCTAATCGTTTTCACAAACGTTTTCTCCGCTACTAACGCGATGCGCCCGCTGGTACATAATAACCGATCGAAACGCATCGAAACCCAAATGTACCGCGAACCGCAGTCCGATGCTATCCCGGCACGTTTTTAAAACACGAAGGTGAACAGCCCCAAAAAAAATGCTAATGAAAACGAATGTTTGAACGCGCAAGATTTAAATATCCTTAGCCGGGAAAGTTTGAAATGTAAATAAAAAAATTGTGCCTGCTCCGAATTCGCGTGCGATGAACAAAATCTGGTTGAACTATGCTGTGGAGACCGCGAAAGTCTTATGTTTTGCAACCGTCTAAATGACTTTTAATTGACCGTTATCGGTGTGAACTCCAAATGGACAAAAACGCAATACGCCGCGCTGTCGATCCCGTGAAGCGTTGGAATTTCGCAGATTTCTGCCGAACAAACGTTTCGGGAGAAAAACCCAACAAATCTGTCATGTTATGTGAAATCGAACGCTTACCGTTGCCGTTCGACGACGGCACCTTGCGGTTTTCTAAACCGGTACGCACTTTTTTATCCGGACGCGTTTGATAACGCGATTTTTAGCGAAAAATTATACTTCGCCGGAGTCGGTTTCGAAAAGTTCTCGTACCGGAGCTAAATCGGAACGCATGGCTGTCCGTGATTTTCGCCCCGCACGGATTCGTCGACCGAAATCATCGACTTTGTGGCGGTGGCGGGAAAACGTTTCGTTGTCGACGTCACCGTCGTACACGTAATACTGTGCGACGTGTGCGAGCCGATATCCGTGATGTCGACGCTGCAGCGGTACGTGATACCGTTTTGGGACGTGACGAGAGAAAAAAGAAAAAACCAAACGATAACAACAGCAACAATAACGAAACGGAAACCCGGACACCGCCGTGCGCTCGAAGACCAATCGCGCACGAAACGCGTCCGATCGTTTAGCCGGCGGCCGGGCCGAGAACGATGTTGCGGTTGTGGTCGGTTAGCATCGAAATCGCACGAAAAACGTCGCCGAACGATCGGGGGCGTCTTTTCCCTCGAAAACGGTAATCATAATCTCGTTGGATATTACACACGAGTGCATGATGATCATTTTGTACTCAATACCCATTACCGTTAAGCGACGGTCACCTACGTACGGTTTATGCGGACCTTATATTATACTCGTACGACGTTCGATCGCAGCGCCTAGACGACAAACAAATACGGAAAGCATTATTTTTCATTGGCGCTTTGTACCGTTTTATTACACTGTTTAATATAATATTTGTTCGACTCGCGTGAAAATCGCTCAACAGTTGTTCGAATAACGTTTCGTTTTCGCATCGTTAACATCGCGCGTCGCCCGCGTTGTTGTGCCGCTGCGTCCGAAACGTCCAGCGAAACGGCGACGGACTCGCGGTGCGTTTTTTTATTTTTACACCCCCTTAGGACGCGTCACCCCATACCGACACATCGTGCACGCGTTCGCCTCGGTCCGATCGTTTCGGACGCGTCGTAACATTATAATCGCGGTACGCCCATACGTCACGCGCTATGCTCCACTACAATCGGCGACGAAATGCATTCAAAACGCGTAAAATATTTTTATCACCATTTTTATCCAGTTTGTTTTCAATGATACACTGTTGACGGAGTTCTATTTTTAGATTATTATTATTATTATATTATCCCACCCGATCGGTGTTAGGTGTACACGTGACACGAAATACTTCCACGTAAAGCCAATTATTTCCCCGCCGCGACCTGAATCTTACAGGACTAAGGATTTAAGTGTGTTTAAACGGTTCTTGTTTATCCTGGTAAAATAGTTTCTCGTATTCCGCTTAACATAATTAGATGGTGCCCTAGTATAAGGGAATTTGTCCATTGTGACCATTGTTTTTTTTGCGTGTTCCTGTAGATTATCATAATACTAATCGATTGGCATAAAAAAAAAATTTTGATTGTCATTTTTAATACAATCTATGAAAAATATAGAACACGTCTTAGTCTCTGTACAAATAAGAATAATTTAATATATTACTTTTAAATTTTAATACTTTTGTTCGTCATGACTTACTAATGACAATACTAATTATATGAATAAAATATTGGATAAAAGAAATTTTGGTTGAAGGAATAAATAAATCATGTGCGAAATTAAATAAGTTCAAATAAATACTGTCCAAAAATAACAAATGACTTATTGGGCTTATTAAAAAATTGAAGTTTTTATGAAAAATTTAATATTTTAAATATTAAGGAAACCAATTATTGAAGAATCCCTTAAAGAAGAATTATCAAAAATATTGATGAATAATTTTACATTTTTATTTACGATTTATTACACAAACAAATAGTTTATATATAGAAATAAATAAATAAGCTGTTTAATTACTTACTAATTTACGAGTATTAACCATTTACCAATTTTTTTGTGTATTTGTTGATGTTGCTTTTAGCTTTTTCAAAATATTATTCTACTTATTCCCATTAACATTTTTTTATCCCAAGTGTTACTTGAGTGTCATATTTTGAGTGTATGAGAAACCATCCTATTTTCAATATGTTTTAGTTCTTAAACTTCACTCGATAATTTCCTATCACTACCAGATTTAAATTAAATAAATAACATTTAGTTTTATTATTTTATAGAATACGAAGACGATGACAATTTTTCTTCTAGAAAATTTTTAGTAAGTTACTGCATTATTTTTGTAAGTATTTAATGTTTGATGTGGGTAAAATCAATTTTATTTCGATTCTCTTTTAAAATATGTAATTTTAAGTAAAATTATTTTAAATTTTTTTTAATTTATACAGTTATAAAATACAACGTGTTAGATTAAACGGGACAGCGAAAGAATCGCGATGAACGTAATAATTCGAACTTACCATCGGCCATTTGTCGGGATTCGTTATCTAGCAGTTTGAACTGGAGGCTACGGGACTTGAAAAAGTTCATCACCTTGTCGATGACCAGCGTATCCAGGCTGGTGGTCTCGTCGTCTCCAGCGGATCGGGCCGATGAAAGGTCCTGGACGACGTCGTTCTGAGCGCCAGGGTCTTTGACCAGCCGGACGCCGTCGAACAGTTCCATCTCCGGTTGTTCGTTGATCCGGTCCAGAGCAGTCAGCAGTTTGTGCTTGATACATGGTCCAAACTGCGGGCAAACGCGACGCGAATATTAGAAAAAATCAAAAAGAAAAAATCGCCCCCCTCACCCCCCGACCGTTGGAACTGTCGCCGTGGCGTGGCGCATCGAATCATCAATAAACAATTATATCCGACTTACCTGCGACTTGGAGCAGTCCTGGAACACTTTGAACACCACGCGGAAGTCACCGCCGACACCGGTGTCGATCTTACGGGCTTCGGGCGGTTGGGCTGTTGCTGCGGCCGACGAGAAGGCGATCGCGAACGCAAAGAAGACGACTGCGGACCGCGACATGACGCTGTGCTGGACGGTTACGACGATTGACGGACGGTTGAATCGCGATCGGTATGGCACGGATGGACCGCCGACGATGGGAAACGGAGTCGAAAAACTCTTCGGATTGTCGCAGGTACGGGTGAGACGAGACGAGACTATCACTGTGTGCGCGCGAAGTTTTTCCACCAATTGATTCCGCACACGGAGTCTTAAGGATTTTTATACGGCGCCCAACTCTCCCCACTCGTCTAATATTTTCCTTTTCACTTTCCAGCTAACATCCCTACACACGAATGGCTCACAGCACACACACACACACACACGCGTGCGTGCGCGCGCGCACTCGTACACATCCGGATAACTTCCCGTCGACGAACGTAATTGCATTGCGTCCCACCCGAAGACGATAATAACGATTTTTCGAGCCGCCCATCATCGTTGTCTATACGTCGTCGTCGTCGTCGTCTATTGTCGTCTTACGATAAGTGGAGCCTGACCGATGCGCGTGCGTGTGTGTACATGTTTGCGTGTGTGTGTGTGTGTGTGTGTGCGTGTGTGTGTGTGTATGTGTGTGTCTGTGCGTGTGTGTATGCGTGCGAATGTGTGTTTGTGCGCACACGCCACCGGCAGAATGCGCACTTAAGTACACACATACGCGTGTGAACGGTTTTTGGGCGTTCGCGATGAAATTTTTCAGTTTCACTCGATTCCGATTTTCGTTTTTCGAATTGCGTTCCATACGGCGTATAATACCACATATTATATGCGTTCGAGTGTGTGAACGTTGTCATTATAATACCGTTTCACCGATCATTGTCAAATCGATTTTCTCGTGCGCGGTGCCAGGCGGAGACGCATAATGGCGAAGACGTAAAGGACATCGCGGCGGTGAAAACGCGCACGCACAGGCAGCAGAGCCCGGCTGCAATTGCGTCTATCGTTCTTTGGGTCATCCGTAATTGCGGCGAAGAATTCGTTGGGAATTCGTTCTCGAATTAAACGCCATTAGCCGCGAACACCTTAAAAGCTTTTTGCGGCGAACGCGATGTAGATCGCGGCGACTTCGACGCCGGTAAAAAGCTTTTCCCTCGAAAACGGTAATCATACTCTCGTTGGATATTACATACGAGTGCATGATGATCATTTTGTACTCAAAACCCGTACCGTTAAGCGACGCTTACCTACGTACGGTTTAAGCGGACATTGTATTATACTCGTACGTCGTTCGATTACAGCGCCTAGACGAAAAACAAAATCGGAAAGCATTATTTTTCATTAACGTTTAGAACCGTTTTATTACACTATTTAATATAATATTTGTTCGACTCGCGTGAAAATCGCTTAACAATTGTTCAAATAACGTTTCGTTTTCGCATCCTTCGAAATCACATTGTAATTACGTTTCGGTGATTTCAAGTGAATTTCATCATTGTTCCATAATACGCAAAATATTATAAAAAAAAAAAAAAAATTTCCAACCAACAAATTAAAGCGAAGACTTAATTGAATAACATAATAATGGTACATCATGATCATATGTGCACAGGAATAAATAATTAATTTTCGTTAAATTAAATAGACGTTGGCTTTCCATTATGGGTATTCGAAATAGTGTTGGCGTGTGTGCGTGTATGTGTCGAAAACAATTACTCATCTGATTTGTAAAACAAAAAATATTTACAGTTGTCGTCGAACAATTACAGGTTTTTATTTGAATTGGTTAGGTTGAATTTTTTTTTTTTATAGTCTACCCGAAATAATTATTGGTGTATTTAATGTGTTTATACATTGTTCTTTTATCAGATTGATAAAGATCGGTATTTTTTATTTTATTTTCCTTTTTCCTTCTTAATATATTACTTTCTCAATCGTTATAAGCATATAAAATTAGGGTCTTAGGTAATATTTGAAAAAAAAATCTAAATATAAGTTTTCTTATAAATATTTTGTTATGATAATATGTTTATACAGTGACATTTTCTAAGGAAATTTTATTTATTCCAGGTAAACTTTGTACTGCACTACGTGTGCTGGATTTTCACGCGGAATATTTTTTTGTTCCGGTCAATTATTCCATTCCACCTTGAACAGTTTTCGCAGTAGTTTCGTAGGCGTAAGATGTTCATGTATGAGACTCACTAAACATTTGTGTATCTTATCGAACTCATGTTTCTTTCAATAAAAACATGTGTTATCATAGAACTATTTTCCGGTTTAGAAATGTTCCCATCAATTTGGATTTGAATTCATTTAAAACGTTTCAAGCTAAACAAACAAAATAATACCGAATAAAGAACAATGGCTACAAGATGCATGCAAATCACAATCGTGTAACATAATTTGTACCCATTTTTTCAAGTGAATCGTACATGGTTTCGAAAAAAAATAAACCGTCTATACGCTATACTATAACAGTGGGATTTTCAAGAGTAATCGAATATCGGTCTGTCTGTCCTTACTAGTTCTGATAGTAAACACTTCGGGATTAATAGAATTTATTCAAGTTTATCCGATAAACCTCGGGTGACTCGGAAATGTAGAAAAACATGCTTAGACACAATATTAAATTCGTGTTGTTTGTCAATAAGTAGTTTTTTTTTTTCCTCCGCATCAAACACATATCAAATCGAAGTGATACGTCTGGACGTGCGTGCGGCCGCGAATGAACCGTGACGGGAAATCGGCAAATCATCGTCGAGGAGACACCGCGAAAACCGTCTGAACGCGTTCTCACTTTTCCGATTCCACGCGAAGCCCTGTCGGGGGGAGGGATGTTAATTTTTTTTTTTTTTTTATTCTTCCGTGTGTGATCACCACCAGAAGGGTCAATTCCGACGGTTTTATTCGGTTTTATACGTTTCGTATTCTCGGCGGCTTTTCGAACCGCCGAGGAAAGCTTTGACCCGCGCCGACGTTCGATTTCGTTCGCGATCCAACAGCGCAATGAACTGATAAAAAAAATCAATTTCTCAGTGTTATATTTCATATTTGTACGGTGTAAGGCGACAAGATGTCAAAGCGATTATATTTCAATAAAGGAATGTTGAACATTTTCCGCGTAGAATTTGTGGCCAAACATCAAAAGTCAAAATCTAAATCCAACAACGTTTTGGAATCCCCGGCTACCCGCGAACGAAATTTCTGGACACGTCGTCGAGCGCGACAGTCCCGAACAACCGAAGACATCCGCGTGGCAGGCACGCGCAAACGTTGTCCTACGCCTAATTTACGGTCGCGGGCATTGTTTTCCCGCGGGCCGCGTTTTCGTCGCGCGCTACCGGCAACAATGCCGTGCGCCAGTTCCTAATTAACCGAGCGCGGATGCCCGCGGCGACTTCGGCTTTATCGCGATTCAAGTCGAACAAACAACATCGTTTCACGAGTCGCGAGGGGATTCTTGCGCGAGGCCCGTCGGAACCGGGTCACCCGGTCGGAATCGGAACGAACGTGTAGGCATATCTGTGTGTATGTGTGTGTGTGTGTGTGTGTGTGTGTGTGCGCGCGCATAATTTTATTTGCCTACACGCTTTAATTTAATTAGCGCGCGCATTGTCGCGCGTTAGGCGTTCGCCGGATTTAAACGCGCTCTCGGTTTTAATTAATTCGAGCCTAAAGCCGCATGATATTGTTCGTACGCGGCGACTGGTGTTTTTATTTTTGTTTTTTTGCGTTAATGAAGTCGCTGTTCAAACCGGTCGAAAAGGTTCGAACGAAAAGCAAAAACGTTTCCCACGGCGATCGCTTTCGGCGTGATTCCGTTGTGTTCGACCAGCACGTTGTAAGACGAACCGCATCGATCGTCGAATGCACTGCGTAACAAAGCCCACCGTCGTTATTCCTCGGTTCCCGGTGAGATTTAAAGGCTTCAGTCAACATCAACCGACACTTCGAGGCAGTCGTCCGGATAGATTTGTAGAAATCACGTTTTAGGCATGTAAATCGAATTTCAAGTACACCACTTGAAGTGATTTCTACTATGACACTTCGACCCGGACAGCGAGGTCGTGCCTAACCATGTGACACCGCCCTTTTATTACATTACTTATAACATAATAAAGTTGATTAAAACAGTTTTGACTGCGCTTAACTCGTGTACTGAAACACGTTCAACTTGAATTACCCTTGTTGCACACCGACCATTGCCGAAAGTCCAACATCAAACACAGCGTGTTGTTAACCGTAGTTGTCGGAGAAAAAAAAAAAAAAGACTATTAGTTATCGAAAAACATTATTATTACTATTATTGGAAATTAATCTAAATCAAACGATGAAACCATTATTGTTGCAGTATTGTTAGGTGTGTGAGCAATATTTAAAACCTAACATAATTCATGGTAACAAAATCGTTAAATTCGATCGATATGGTACGTATTACAATTATGAGGGTGAAAACGATATCAATATTGCACGTCACATTATTACGAGACGAGTTGGAACGAATAATAGTATTTTGAACGTTGACTTCGGTAGAATATCATTTGCGATTGGAAACGGCTTCTGTGTGGATTATTTAGAAATCTGCAATAACATAACGAATTCTGTAATTACCTTTGGTAGTACGTTCAAAAATATAGCATTGTAATCATCACGTACGTTTTTTTCTTTTACTATTATTATTATTATTCAACTCGCACGGTTCTTTCATTTATAATATTTAGTTTTTCCTTCGGTTTCCCCGGAAGTTACGAATCGTCATAATGTTCCAAGATTCTGGTCGGCATGAAAAGTGATTAAATGTTACCCTTTAAACCACAGTTAAGATGTCGAAAACGTTTTTTTTTTTTTAAACAGCGGTTTAAATCGTTTAATTTAATCAAATACGGTTTCTTTAAATCGTTTGAAACATTTGATTTACACGATGTAAAAAAAAAAAAAAAACGTTGTTTTAAACAGAAAAAAACATAATTTTTGACCTATCATCAACCATCTTCAAGTTTTATTAAGTTTTCTGTAATAGTTAATTCGTTATTTGATTTTTTATTGTTCAGTGATTAAACGATGTTTACCTTATGATCTAA